AAAAAAAGGACATTCACATTACAAACGATAGCGTACATATTCAAATAGAAATCATATATTACATCTGTATTGGTTCTACATGAGCGATAGATGAACGTGATTTCTTGAATCAACAACTTTGTTGAACCTGGAACAACATTCCAATCAACCAATCAGATTTGAGGGACAAGTTTACAGTTTATGTCAAGTTTAGTTTTACAACCAGGGTTAGGTGTTTCTACATCAGTGTTATTCACAGAGCGTTTCTTATGTGTATGGTTAGGTTTAGGGATAGGGTTAGGATTACATTTTCAGACTGAAATGTTGTTCCAGGTACAACAAAATACTAAATACTAAAATTACTAAATCCCAGGACCATGTGCGATGCTATGAAGCTTTCTATGAAGCACTGCCATGTGTTTGACAGTATTAATATGTAGTGATAGATGGATATATTGGCCACGCCAATTATTTGACAACTGTGTGATATCTGCAACTGGAAGATTTTCACAGGAAGTTTGAGGACAGTAAGATTACTATTATTTTTTCATGTTTTAATGGCAAAGCTATTATTCCAGTCTTCAGTGTCACCTTTAAATATGCTGATTTGCTATTCAGCATTTTACACCACTAATTATTATCAATGTTGGAGACAGTTGTGCTGCTTAATATTTCGATTTGATGAATAGAAGGTTAAAAAGAACAGCGTTTATTTGAAATATATATTTAAACAAGTCTTTACTTCCACATTTTATCAATTTAAAATGATTACTTTCTTTGTGACCCCAAACCTTTGAACGGTAGCAAATATGGAGGGGGCGGCACAGTGGCTCAGTGGGTTGGACTGTCGCCTTACAGCCCAAACAATACAAAAACATGCTTAAGAGGCTAAATTGTCTGTAGGTGTGAATGTGTGTGCGTACCAAGCCATGAATTGGGGAAAGTTGGGAAAAGCCCTGGCAACCTACCCTGGAAAGAAAAGTCAAGAAAATTCATGGACAGTCTCTCATGTATGACGAGAGATGGCCATAGAATCACCAAGAGTCAGACATCGATAGATAGAAGGAGGAGATGCCATTATTTAGGTTTTTTTCAAAGCTTATTGAAGGGTATTATTAATTGGGGGAAAAAATCTAGATATTGTCATCTCCCATTAAAAAAACATAACATTTGTCAACCACTGTAATTCTATATGCCTCCCTCAAAAAGACACAACATGAAATGCCATTTGCAACCCAATAAGCAGTATTTATAAGTGAAACAGGGTTTTCAAAAATAAGGATGACAGCACAATTGGAGTGTGAAAAGAACTGAGAATAAATCAGGTGGTTGGAGGAGAGAAGTTGAAAGGAACATGTCATTAAAAAGAAAATAGGGTCAGTTTTAATTTCATGCTTACTTAAAACTCTAATCTCTAAGGTCTGTCCCTTCCTTTGTCATCTTTCTTAGTTTTTTATTCCCCATTTCCCATTCTGGACTCTCTACCGTCTTTCTCTCTCATTTTGTCTTTCATTCTCCGACTGACTCCAGATCATTCATCACTCTCCTCAGCCTGTGTGTATCCCAGCATGCTCCACCCTCCCCAACGAGCGCAAGTCAGCCATTTTTCAGCTGGGCCATACAGCGGGACGCCGGACAGCTTGGTTACGCCCCGCCGCGAACGAGCTGGACGCGGGCCATGGTGAGGATACTTTGTGATCATTAATTGAGCTGCCTCTGGTCCTTTACAGAGGGGAAGACGTCTTCATAGTGCGCTAACGTTTTTATAAGAGCCAAACACCATCGCTACTACCGTCGTATTAAGGAACAGATTCGCTTTCTTCAATGTAATACAATGAAAGAGAGTATGTGTGTGTGTTTGCACAAAAGAATAAGCCTCTTGGCAGAAGCTGTACAAGTGTGTCATCCTTAACAAAAGAGGCAATACGCTCTTTGGTTGCCATGGTGAAATTCATTGTAGCCAATTAGGTGCAACACCTTGGGTATATCTGCGTGATGGATTGTGTGTGTGTGTGCTGCTTGTAGAGAACAACCATAAAGCATGTGTCTGGTTAACTTACAGGCAATGTAGCGGCTTATTCATTACACACACACACGCAAATGCTTCACAACAGGCAAATGAATGGTAGAGGTGCTAAGCTTTACAAACCTTACTGTTTCGAATTACACTTTAGGGCCTTTAATGCTAAACCTCATGAGAGCATGTGGAGGTGCTTTTAGTCATTATGACCCTAAAATATGGAACCTTTTACAAATTGCATTTATATGTATTCATTTGTAAGACACTTTCATCCAATGAGGATAAAAGCCAACTTTATTTGCAGCACACACTGATTAGACAAGCTCCCAATTTGTCAAAAGGTTAAAACCCTGGTGAAGATATTTATTTTTATGTTGGCTTTTGGAGCGTTAAAGGTCTGCATTTAACATTTAAATGACAATTTTTTTTTCATGTATTGCTTTTTTGTTTTCTTAAAGGAATAGTTTTCCTTTTTTTTTATTCATCCCATACTTTACTCACCCTCAAGCCATCCAAGGTGTATATGGCTTTTTTCTTTAAGCCGAACACAACAGTTAGATAAAGTAAGGCGTTTTAAGCTCATCCATTAATCATAAAAATTATCAATACGACTCCAGCGGGTTAAAAAAATGCATTCTGAAGTGAATCGGTGGATTTTTGAAAGAAAAATGTCCATATGCGCATTAGCGAGAGAGAATATAGAAAATACTGTATATTATTTCATATAATACTAGAAATATTACTATGAACTACTATGAATTAATAATGAGAAAATCGCTAAATATATCAACATTTACATTTTGCAACAGAACATTTGAATTATTAATAAAGAAATAGCCATTACTTTTTAAATACTTATATTATATCATTTTAAATATAAGTAAAACACCTGGAATTTTACTCATCTGGAGGCAGCTTTAAGGCGTTTACATTGATGATTTAACAATGGTATTGCCCACAAGCTTTAAAAATACTCAGTTTGAATGTAGATGTCTCTGCATATACTAATAATAAAAAGGTTGATCACCTTGCTATCACACTGATGCCTGTTGTCACTGTTCTTCATTATCATCCACACTAATAAACATGGTTAATTACAAGATCTGGCAGTGGTAATGAAATACTCTAAGAGCAGTTTGCCAGTTGTGAAAGAAAAATGTCCGTACCCGCATTAACAAGAGAGTCCAGTTCTGGCTGAGGGGCGACCTCTGACCCGACACATGACATAAGCGTAGCGTCAGCTTAGCTGAGAATTGATGAATGTGGAAGCACAGTGGGTAGAACAAGACAAGCGAAACGAATTAGAAGTCTAAAATTGTCAGAGGATTTCGATATTAGAGAAGAGGAGCTATGTCCTACATCAGGTCAGAGGTCACCCTTCCGCTGGAACAAGCGTACTGGCCGTTGCCAGTGATTATAGTTTGAAATATGGATATTTTTCTTGCAAAAACCCATCACTTTGCTTCAGAAAGCATTTTCCACCACTGGAAATGGATTACTTTTATGATAGATGGGTTTGCTTTTTGGGGCTTAAAAAACAAGTGGACATTATGCAATGCCATTACAAAGTTGGGAAGAGCCAGGATAATATTTAATATAACTCTGTGTTCGAAAGAAGGAAGTCATATACACCTAGGATGTCTTAAAGGGTAACTTATGGGATAATTTTCATTTTGGGTGAACTATTCCTTTAAAATGATATTATAAAGCACATTTTATTTATAAAAAGGTTTTATACAAGTAAACTATTAGTAATATTAAGGTTCAATGTATTAACATTACTTCATACAATAAGTATGAACAATGATCAGCATTTTTCCTCTAGGTTAATTAATAAATACACTGGATCATTCATAATCCATGTTCATATTTGTTTATACAACTTGAAATGGTAAAATGTTTTAGCATTTATGAAATGAATATTAACCTAGATTAATAAATGCTTAAAAAATTCCTGTTGGTTGTTCAATAACTAATATTGACTTGGTATAGCATGACCTATAATAATAATTTTTCAATTATTATCATTATAAATCAATTGGCTGATGCTATTTCTCAATGGCAACCAAAAAAAGAACAGCCCAAAGCTGACAACAGTGTGTGTGTGTGTGTGTTACCCAGTGCTTCATTGACTGCTTAAGTAGAATGTGCTCAATGGGGTGGCGTTGGGCATCTGTTCATAAAGGGTCACACAGATGTTCAATCCAGACACACACACACAAATAAATGGAGAGCTGGTGACACGAAAGAACATTTACCGCATTTAGCAATGTCATCTGGAATCATCTGGAGCTGAGAGAGTGATTCGGCATGATAAAAGTGGTGAAGGGCAGCGGTTTCTTTTCATTTGCTCATCATGTAAACACTTGCTTGGAAACAGATTTGCGGTTTTAAGACCCTGTAAGACCAACATTAGTACATCTCATTAACAGTGAAACTACATTTAAGTGTACTAGCTAGTTTAGGAGGTGGTGACACACCTTCCCAACGCTAGTCGACGCATTCAAACACTCTGACACAAAACTAACAAGAACGACTAGAAGAAGTAGAAGAAGAAGAGGTGGAAGAAAGAAAAGCTGTACACGTAAGTGCTCATCAGCGTGGAAACACCTACAATAAACACTGTTTAGTGGCCTGAATGCGTAGCTTTTTTTCACCTAAAGTATCTCTTTTTAACGCTAGTTTATACACAACTAACTGATATTTACACAACATCGACAGAGTCCGAGTTCATCCCAGATTGTTCTCGTGAGCGAGTTCGTGTCCTGCGGAATCCGTGGTTCTGTTCCAATGCGCAACATTGGCAAAAAAAAAAGCAAGCGGAAGAAGAGTGTATTTACAAAGAGGTCCGTTACACTTCACCTTCAATATGAAGGTTTACTCTGAAGATATACTCGTGTTTATTTAAAGATATACATCATTTACGCTCGTACGGCCAGGGGATGGGACGCAGGCATACGGGATGTCCTTTGGCAACGTCAGCCATACCAAAAATCGACAGGTAATGGAAGTGGGAAGCAGTGGCGAAAGAAGGTTTACAGCGGGAAAAAAAGAAGAGCGATACAACCTTGTAGAAAATGATGCGAGACGTCTCAGAATTGGAATAGCGTCGTGAAGATAACTAAAGCGGGATTACAATGATGAAAAGAGGACGAAAAGTGTCTGCTTCTCCAGTTTTCCCTGTAAATGCAGCCCAAAGACACAAACAGTCGACAAGTTAACAGACGTCCTGGGAGTTCCAATGGGTCTGGTCCTGTTCCGATCTCGTCTGTTGGATATGGGATAATGGTTCCTCTCCTGAAACACGTTCTCAGATCAGGATGATAGTCTCTATTCTGGCGCGCTCCGATGGGATTGGGCTCGCCCGCTGGTAATTCTTCCGCAAGCTGCCCGGCCCGTCGTCCGGCGCCCCCTGTAGTCATGCCAGCGCAGTGCCCGTCTGGCACTGAGACATCTGCAGGTGCATGGACTGAATGCTGTTGAGGATTTTTTTCTGATGGCC